TTGCATTCATAGAACTTACACTCGTCAACGTTTTATTTCCTGAACTCAAAGCTGAATTTAAATATTCAACACGTAAGTCCGACCGTAAATATTTTTTCATTTCTTGACACAAATATTTACAATGCTTATTTAGGCGCAATATTTATATATTTACGTTTAAATATTTAATAATATGTATACATAATAGATACAGCAGTATTCGAGGCAGATTTAAATCAGAATCTGACTGTGTAAACTTGCAACTAGGGTCGTATTCGATTCATCTACTCGCTATTATTTTAAATCAATTAATTCATGTCGATTCGCTTAATTCTATTATTGTGTAGTATTGTAATAGAAAACTACCTTTTGCTATTATGACAATGGAAAAATTGTTTATACTTTGTGATGTAATAACAAAAAACGTGTTTTAAACATATAACTTTTATTTGCTTTTTAATGCAACATTACACATTTATTTTATGTTTGATGCGAATGAGTTCTTTATCATGAACAAAGGAATATAATTTTTTATGCACATGTTTATACTTGCTTACGCAAAATTTATTTTTATCAGTTTATCGTTATCACGACATTTATCGTTCACGAGCGAGAATTAACTATAAGCTTAAATAGCATTACATTTCCAGATTAGGTGCCAGGAACATGCTGTCGTTCCGTGTATTCGGCAACTGTTTGCCGATTGTTCTAGTCATCGGATTAAACTCTCTTCTAGTCACAGGAACGAAATATGAGCTTAAGTTAATTAATGTAGTAAGTATAATCGTCGTTGATAAATTTTAAGTCTTTTATAAAACTCAAATGTTTTTTTAGTTGAATTCATAGTATTTATGTTATATGCACTAAAATTATTTATATTATTTATTTACTTTTATACAGGTATTTAGACACGGTGATCGGACACCCGACAACAATGGACATGAAATGTATCCAAACGATCCGTATTTAAATTATTCTTTCTTTCCGGAAGGCCTAGGACAGTTAACTAATGTAAGCAGTATGTCGCATTTTTATGTTGTCCGAAATAGTGTAAACAGGATAAATTAAAATTTATTAAATTAAATTAATTTTCGCAAAATTGAACAAAAAATTTAAATTTAAAAATTTTAAATTTAAAATTTTAAATTTTAAAATTGTGCATCCATTAAAAATATTTTTAATATTGCAATGCTTGTTAGATATGAGATGACGTAGGTTTAATTAAATATCATTTTTGCTGTAATATAATTAATGTAATTTATTAGCGGGGAAAGATGCGTGAGTATGAGTTAGGGCAAGTCTTGCGGGATAGATATAACAATTTCTTGGGTGATTTGTACTTGCCAAAACTTGTCATGGGTCACAGCTCGGATTATGATAGAACGAAAATGTCTTTGCAATTGGTTCTCGCCGGTTTATTTCCGCCAATAAATGTTCAACAACAATGGAACCCAGTATTAAATTGGCAACCAATTCCTACAACGTATGTGTCACGTCTTGACGATAATTTCTTCTTATCTGACGAATGTCCACAGTAAGTGTAATTGATTCTAAAAGAAATGACAAATTAGAAATTATTTAGATGGATTGAAGTATAAATCTTGTGGTAGATATTACTGATAAAAATATTTTAAAAAATTTATAAAAATATTAAGACGTTTGGTAGCCTCTATTATATATTGTAGGTATGAAGAAAGGATAGAAGCAAAATACATCCGAAAATTCATGCGTGCGAAAAGAATTGAATTTAATATCTTTTTTACTTTTAGATTTCTTAATGAATACGATCGCGTACTCAGTTTGCCCAAAACGCAAAAAATAATGTCCC